TTCTCTCCGGGCTCTCGTTGTACGTGGACAATTAGAAGTTCTCTCTGTGAGCCGTTTTCTTTTGCGCGAATTACCGAACGCCGACCACAAGTACACTGTGACGCGAGTTTCTTATACAATGTAGTTCAACGTCAATATGTAACGTGGAATGGGTTTTATTTTTATGAGCGGCCGTCACCCGCTCGTAAAAATAAATGGTCTGACCTCGGTGGTAATAAAAATTTAGCGGCCGCCTGATTTGTGTTGTACTAAAAGTAGGGCACACAAGTGTTGCCTTCTTTTAAATACCCATTATTATAAAATAAAAAAATAAAACACCGCGTTTTTGATTTTTATGTATGGCTGTTTCGATAAACCCCGTTTATCGCGACGTATTATTGTTATGGCGTTGGTTACAGTTGTATAGACAACACCCTCGGGAAGACTTCACATTTTTTAGCCTGTCATTAAAAACGAATATAATGTTTTTGAGCGAATCGATTAGGTCCGTAAATTAAAATTTTATTACATCAATTTTATAGTTAGGTAAATGGCAAATCATCGCTTTGAAATAAACGTATTTTTTGATTGAATTTATGCTCGCGTTCGCATAACTTATTTGTACAGTGATGCCTTATTTTATGTAATACATTATTTGCTCGTGTTTTAATAATTTACAAATGTTCTTTTTACGTTTTTTTTTTTTTCTACACCATTAATAACAGTAAAATAATGGTGGGATTTTCTCACGTTACTAATGCCATCTTCACAAGTTTCCGAACATACATTTTTCATAGCCCAATGTTTACAAAACGTTTGAAGATTCGTTCATAAAAAAAAAAAACACGTTCATTAAATGTACAATGTAAATTAAATTTATGTAGTTCAAAATTGACAATTAAAAAATTATAAATCTAATTATACAGGTTTTTAATTTTTGTACGTTTTTGGTTAATAAAGATAAAAACATGATTCCTTCTATCAAAGAGTGGTCGGTTGTCTGCAAAAGTTTATCATAAGAAATATATTGCTATTCAATGTCAGGCTGGTGAAACATCCTATAATCAAAATTAACTTTAAAGGCAAATTTGTTGATTTTATTATATGTTTGGAGTATAAATACATTGAAAAGATAAAATATGTTTGTTTAGCAAACACATGCAAAATTCTTTCATACATATATAGTTAGGGATCCATATATATATATATATATATATATATAAACATTATTTGTGTGCTGGTGTGCAAGAATAATGAGGAGAAGAGTGGCGGCGGGAACCGCGGCCTCGGCTTTACCACATATGTTAAAGACGTCTGCCAGAGACTTAGGGAACAGCAGGTGGTACGAAATACGTTTAAAATATATATATATATATATAGATGTATATGTATATATATTTGTACGTTCCTTCTTTAAAAACATATGCAGTAGAAAATATGTTAAAAAGAGATGAAATTATTCCATCTCTATTTAATATAATGTTTAAACGGAGAAGGAAAAACGAAACGTTTTTCTTTTCTGTATTTTTTTTTTGTACTACAAAAAATAAATTATATATATATATATATATATATTTATAAACGTATGTGTGTGTGTTATTCTTGTACACGTTTTTTTTTTTTTGTTAAAAAACTCATAGGTATAGTTGCTATATGGACTGTATACACACGTTTTACTTTCGGAGAGAGAGAGAAGAAGAATTTATATATATTATTTTTAAAAAATACGGCTGAGAGGGAATTTATATTGTAAACCGCGAAACCGGTTTCATGTGTACCGACAAAATATACATATATTAGGCGGCACGGAATAATACTGTAGCAACCACCGCATTATAATACGATTTTAAAAAATACCACATAACATGACTTTATTTTTACTTCATTTAAAAAGGATACATACATTAATATATAAATCGTATGGATGGTTACAGTTTTGTATACTAAATGTATTATTGTAGTTACTAGTATATTATGCAAAATTGTAGTTCCGTGAATTAATGATATCATTTATACATTACACACGTTGATAATATTCATATAATTGTGAATAATTTCGTGTTCAAATAATATGTTTTTGAGCTGCCTCTTTATCGCTGCCCACTTTATATCTTATTGTAATAATTAATACAAGTACTAATATCATTTGTTGTTTGTCTGTTTCAGATCTGGGTAAGAACGAATATCATTGTTCATTGTTAAGAATAAGTATTTTATTTAAATCTAATTCAACAAGTTTATTGTCATCTGATAAACTATTGAGCAAATATCCTTAACGAGTACATTCGTGAATGTCAGGTTTTGTTGAAGACATTGTATCTGGTAACGTTAACATAGATCAATTGATTTTTAGTCGTTTACTAGCACTATAAGCTAGAACACTGATGCAATATAGGTAAAAAACAATTTTACTAATGGACTCCAGTGGTTTCTGAAGTAGTATATAAAAAAAAAAAAATCAATTTTTATTGTTTATAGACATAAGACGACGCTCGAAGGGTGATATTTGGGTATTGTATTAATCCATTAGAACGATATTGTTGGTGGGTACCCGTTTTTTTTTCCACTAAGTATGGAGAAAACTGTAACCGAACGAGCTCATCAAATGATATCCACCCAAGTAACGGAGTAACACATAGCGTGACTGCACGTCACTATCGTACTCAATCGTAGTTTTCGAGGGAATTTTTGTTTTTTTGTTTACACATTTTAGCAAGTGGTTTTGACATAAATAATGTTATTACTTAATTGTAATTTCTTATTTCATTAATACATTTTAATCGCTGTCCGTGCTTCTCGTATGTCACGCCCATCGTATGCATACCGTGTCGAACGGTTAGCTGCTATCCATCAGCTGCCGATCATCGTGGTAGTATATTTTCATTAAAATGTTAATTGATTTGGCTACTTTTTTTTTTTCGTATACGCGTATGTAATTATAGAAATTTTCATCTTATCCACACCTATATTTCGGTGTTCTCCAGCTACCAAGAAATTAATATCCACACAGTAATTAAAAAACGTACGTCACATTCCTTAACACGTTTTGATATTTGAACCTTTCGGTTACCACAGTAAGTAGTTAAAAAAAAAACCTAGTCGTCGTCGTTAAACTGTGCTTTACACACTTGCGTTAAGGATGGACGTTGATGATAAATTATATTCAGAAACTAAAGCAATCTTTTGACATTTTATACAAAATAATAAAAACCGGTAGCCTAGATATGCATCAATGGGCGGTGATTTTGATCAATCGCACATAAATAATGTTTACAGCTAATAAAATTATGATATGTTATCAATCATATAATACATCAGCGTGTGGTATATATTAGATAACAGTTTAGCGAGTTTTATTTGTTTAGATGAGATTTAATTTTATGGAACTTATGAAGGTGTAGGGAGACGCCTCTTACATCAATTGAGTATAATGTTGAAAATCACCTCTGGTAATTGTATACAATTACGTCTTTTACAACAACGCTGTTATCCGCCACAGCTGTATAATCTAATTGTCAACTATTTAATAACAGACTATCAGCAGTGAATACACGAACGACTTGTGTACGTATTTCTTCACCTACGATTTCTTTGAAAAACAAAAAAAAACTGCATCGAGTAAATTAAAATGTGTATCACCGCAAAAAAGAAACAGTAAACCAGATTATCGTGTTTGTTATACCGGTGGATGATTCCGTTAAAGAGTAGCGGCGACAGTTTTATGACTGAATAATTACAGGACGTGCAGCTTTATCCGTCGAAAATTGCTGGTACCTTTTCATAAAAGAATATCGCATAGTTATTTCATAATCATTGAGTTTAACTATTATAATTCGGTTATGACTTCTCTCATACCTTGGATACGGTTATGATTTAGTACAAAAGAATACAATATATGAAAAAAATGGTGGTTGTAGAAATGTATGTTGTGTAAAACTATGTGCCGGAAGACACCGATTTCGGTGACAACCCGTACTTCCGGCATTTAAACTGTAATTGCATTATTTTTATCTATGACTGCGCGCGCATTACTATAATCATGCACAGTGCGCTAATAGAATTTATGTTGCAAGTTATTTTTCCACGCGAACCTACTTCAGATTTGAGATGATACTGTCGGCAATTAATTAGTTGTAACGCAGTGTGCAACAGTAATATTTTTATCTACACACATTTGTTTACACATCGCTGCTATCTCGCGTTGTTGTGTTCTTCCACCGGCACTTTAAGATATTGACAGTGCAGTAAGAATCATAATGTAAGTTATGTACGGGTCGTGACTCTGGCACTTCGTAGAAATGGCGATTGTAGCGGGCGTGCGTATCGTTGTTATATTATCCTATGCATGCCGTCCTATGCTAATGCAATGCCCCACCATCTCGACACTGCAAGAGTCATAGGTCATCTGTTTGATGGACAGCCGCCTTATATCTAAATGTGTACGGAGAGAAAGAGAGGTGCCTATACAGAGTTGGACATTGTGACGTTGATTGACGCGGTGGCGGCAGCCCGTCATCATTGCTTCGATGTCTTTCACCTGAGTCGTGCACTGAGGCCGCCTTATAGTTGCGTTCGACTGCAGCAGACATTATAATGACGATTATCATTATAATCGTTGTTATTATAATAGTTTTACGTTTTAATGCCCCAAGCATTAAAAACAAAATAATATTAATATTATTCTTTCTTAGAAACTACATTCAATAAGGAACATTAAATTATTTTCAACGTTTATTTTAACCTGCCTTGTTCGAGATTTATGGGAATATTTTTTGAACGCATAAAAATCGAGCGATCCGTTCCTTCGGACCTTCTTTGTAGGAAAAAAATAAGTTTATTGTTTTATCGTCGAGTTGGAAAACAGTTCAATGTTGCTGCCAGTACTCGACAAAGTCACTATTAATTATCATCACTTTTCTCGTGGTCTATAAAAAAATATAATGTTTTCTCTCTTGCTTATGTTTTTATTTTACTGGCTTGTAAAGAACACATAATAAAATCATGGGTGGTTTTATTTTCAGGCAAGTGGGGTCGACGTGTTGGAGGACCAGGAGCTGGTGACTGGTCCGGAATGGGTGGTGGATCCGCAGGTGAAGCTGCTAAAAGAGCACAATTGGCCGCAGCGGCAGCAGCCGGAGGTCTATTCTACCAGTCTGTATTCCTAGGTGGTGGAGGATCTGCAGGGAGTCCTGGTCCTGATTACAATTCCTGTAAGTATTTACTATTCATATAACTATAAACAAAATTAAATTTGTAAGTGAACGAAAGAGAAAAAAGAGTAAAAGTTACAACTATGTGAAAAGAATTTTCGAAAACATATAAATACCAAGGATTTTTAAGTAAAATTCTATTCCATTGATTGGTGCGTGACATAAAGAAGATACCTTATTTCATTAAAAAAATGCAATACTAGTGTAAAAGGGGGAGACACTGTACTACATGAAAAATACGACCAGTCAGGAAAGTTCTTACGTCGATTGACGCAAGGGTAGTGGAACCTGTCAAGTCAGCTAGGGTGGCAGGTAGTGAGTAACGGTGGAAATTTGTGAGGGTGTTTTGCCGGGAAACCAGCCAAACCGGCGGCGGTGGTATGTAATGGTCGGGGAAAGTAAGGGAGGAGTGGTGGTTTTCCTAGTTGCTTGTGCTTGAGTTGATATCAGGTCACGGTGTTACCCGTAGCAACGCAAGCGAGCTGGGTGGAAAATTCTAGTGGCGACGGCGCGTTCCGTCACTGCTATTTCCCCTACGCTTTTTACCCTGACGGCGCGGCGCCTAACAGTCCAGGCAGACTGTCAGGCACGCGCGCTGATTGATGGGTTGCGGATTGGATGCGACAACAAAAAGGTGAGGGGGTGGCTGGCGATGTCGGGCGGTTCGCTCGACAGGACCTGCCCATCAATCAACCCCTGTCGCTTCACCCTCCGATATATCCCTTTTACTTTTTTACATTTCCTGGTTGCAGGCGTTCTCCTTTTACCTTATACCTTTACGTTGAATCGAGAAACACGTTGGTTCTATTTTAAAATGTTCGTTGTCATATTTTCAACCACATTGTAGTATAGCATCTTACAGTAACCATATCTAATTAATATAATGATATCAAGTTGTGGTTCTCATTACTAATGTGAGAAGGGATGGTATAGAAAACTATGGTTGACAGTAATATATCCCGTTGGGAGTAATCCAGAGTACAGGATAAATCACCGAGCTGGTCATGCAGGAACAGAAAACTCCTCTTCGACGTACTTCTCCCGTGGGAGCCAATTATTATGGTGTTATGCTATATAATCTCTAAGTAATAAAATAAATACTCGGCCTAATCTAAAAAAATATTTGACTAAAAACTAATTATTAAAATTTTCTCATATGTATTTTCGAATATTTTGATTTTTTTTTTTTATGTACTTCATTTGAATATGAGATTTTGACCATACCACAGGACATTATTTTTAAAGGTCTGCCAGTGACAACCTGCGAACCCCTACTCAATACTGGTTCGACAGACTCGGGGAGTCTTTTTTGAAGGGGTGGTTTTCTAAAATGTCAAGAGCATGCACACCAGTGGTTGGAAAGGAAATGAAAACCTCGGAATTTCATTTCCTTGCCTACGGGGACCGTAACCTGTCAATGACATGCGAACATCCGTGTAATGTAGGACAGATATTTCGCTCTGCGTCACTTATCTATGGGTTACCTATACTAAAAAAAAATCTCATACTTCAGATTAAATTTAATAAACAATGAGTTCTTATATTTTTAATAAATAAAAGTAAAATTTTTTAATTAAAAATTAATCTACTAGTTATAGACATCTGTAATCTTTCATTTAATTAGTTTCTAATGTTTTATTTCACATTACTTCCACGGGATGATTACTATTTCTTTTTTTTGTTGTTTTGATACCATATAATGGTGATTACCTGTCTGGTGCATCAATGGCTGCCTTGATGAGCACCTCGCAAACGAGTTCCTGAGAAACTCGTTTGTGGCTTCGAACTATACGTATATGCTAATGGTGCCGCCCATTATAATATTTATATTCTTATTACCGGTGTAGTGCTATTTATCTCGACGGCCATTATTATCATAATGATTTCCATAAAATGTATAATTGTTAATGTAAATAATGAAAAGACTACATGTATAAAATCAATCTATAACTTGCATTGATTATATCAAATATACCTGTTTAATTGAAAGATAATTATTATGCTTATTTTGTTTTGAAAGCAGACAATGATTATTCATTTTTCATAAGAATTAATGAATATATAACTCAATACAGACATGTCAAGTATATTTTATTCATATATGTATGGTTGTTGATGTTTTAAAAAAATGTTTGAATATATATATGTGTGTTTAGTTCTGATCTGTTTAATTCTTATATATTATGATAATGATAACACGAGAGTTTAGCATAACATTTATTTAAAAAGTTAATGTGAGGGTGTGATGGACCCTTTTGCTCTATCACCCATGGATTACCCTTCCGGTCATGTTTATAATGTGTGCGCGGGTCATCCCTCGTGTAATCCAATCAAAGCACGCAAACTCTTGTGTCCTTTTACCCTCACTGTTCCATATAATTATATTTAAATGAAATTTTTCTACCCTTCCATATAATTACTAGATAAACGACAGATCTTAGCCCCTACCTTATTACATTAATTATTTGGAGATAAATGTGCAGATTTTTTTTTTCGATTCTGCATATCTTTCATAGGCCTGTGATTTTTATCAATAATAATTACACACATACACGATTTTACCAAGAGGGTGCACGTTTGGTTATCTAAATAAATACATAACTCAATGAGGTGATTGATGGGTGTTTATCAAATGATTGTATCGAACTTATAAATATGACGCATTGTATGAATAGCAACACCCCCAACAATCATAAATAGACCTACAACATGGTTTTGTGTAAATGCTATTTAGTTTTGCTTTAAACGAAAATTGAACTTTTAGTTTCTATTAAATTTGTAATTATATTAAAATATAATTTTGACACAAAATAAATGAATTCAACCGAATGAACTTACTATCGATATTATATGGCTTGTTGATAGATGATCCACCAATTTACTTTATTTAAATTTAAACATAATATGTTCTAATTAAAACTTATTTAAGAATATTATTCTTAAATTTGATTGATTTTATTTACTAAAAAAAACATTGACTTTGTTAAATTTGATTATTTATTTATACTTAAGTTAAAAAAATTCTATTTTATAAAAATGATTTTTTGACGCGTGAAAATTAAAAAAAAAAAACTTTGATATTTATTAATTTTCTTATTATTGTTACTCTTTTTTACCTGTCGATCATTAATTTTATTATATTTTTAAATATTTCTATATTTTTTACATACATATATATGTATATATGATTTGATACATATATTTTCGAAATATAATCATGTAGTTAGAAAATTTGTTTTTGTTAATTTAGGCGATGCTAGCCAAACTGGTGACTCTATTGGGAGTGGTGACGGCGATGACATGGATGACGGCGATGGTAGTGGGAAAAAGTCTGGGTCATCTCAAAAAAAACGAGGCATTTTCCCAAAAGTTGCCACCAATATTTTAAGAGCGTGGCTCTTCCAACATTTAACCGTGAGTACATAAACTTTATATTAAAATTGCAAGCTACTTGACCAAAATTATAGATCTATAGTTATAAGTTCTAGTTGTAATCAACAGCAATACCGATATAACCCTATCACTTGTTGTGCTCCAAAAGTCTCTTAATAGAAAGTCTTATCATTTGAATAATTTCACTTGGTATATATGTCTTTCAATCTGATACATTTTGCATTTCGCAATATCTTCAACATTTGACAGTTTGTTCCGGTTGTCGTGCAGTTTTCTAATGTTACTGCTAACGAATTATCTTCTCCGGAATGTTTAATTTTGCTGCAGCATTCCACTCGCGTAAATTACACAAGTTTTTAATTACTGCAGCTGTGGCATTGCTGCGTTTCCTCCCCTCGATACGACAGCGATGGCAATTAAAATTACACACTGGTTACAACTTGCAACTCTGATGCGGATATTAAAAATTCTTCTGCACCTGATATCCTATAGAGGACTGTGGGTGGAGCTTTATTCGTGTTTCATTTTGCATTCCATCGTCTGTAATCCTTTCCCCTTTTGTAGTTTAACTTTTATGTAAATTTTAAACCCGACCGTAAAATACTTTTTCCAAAAAGGATAAATGGGTATATGTAAGCGAAGAGTTCTTTGCCGGTTCTGTATAGCTGGTCGAAAATGGGTGGATCTGGTGGGCCACCTCTTTCCGCTCTACCACTACCACATGGAAAACACCGTTGCCTTCCCCTGTCGCTTTCCACCCCTCTGAACTCAGCATTCGGTTGCCTGTAGCAACATACTACGAAAACCGGGCACAGCCGGTAAACTGGGCGCGGTCGTCCCGGCAACCGGGACACCAGTGTTTTTAATTACAACCAGGCGATTAGAGTTTGGGGTAAAATGTGGATAATAAAAGGGGGGTAGTACGCGGGGACTTGTTGTCTGGATAAACTAACCAACACCGTCGGGGCGAACAAACTTGGCAGCCATTAATAAGTATTACTTCATATTGTTTTCTATGTTATTATTATATCATTGAATGTTTTGATTTTAAACAATTCTCATTCTTTTTTTAACTATATAAGTATAATGATTAACTTTCTATAATGCAAAATTGATTTTGTTTGATTTTCATGCATTTATCGTTTAATTCGTATTGTTAGATTCGCCAATTTTTATCGGATTTAATCGTATTTGATAATTGTTTTATGTTAAGAACCCTGGGGGGTCTTGGACGATTGAAGGCCACTGCGACTAATTCAATTTATTCTTTTATGAGTACGGTCTCTGTTTTTGATTACAATTATTCTACTCTCTTAATCAATAATTGTAGTGTAAATATTGGTATAGATTATTTTCTAGGTGGTCTTTTAAGGCAAATTCATTAATTAATTCTCATCAAATGTAATTGATATTTAAACTTGACTCTACTTTTTTTTATCGTAATACAAAATTTGGTCAAGGTTATGTCTTGTTAAATGAATTCTAGATTTACAATCAGACATTTCTTAATTTCTATTTAATCAATTTAATTCGAGACTGTATTTCAGAGATATATAACATTTGAGAAATGTTATCCAAGTGCCGCCACCCTTCTTCCTCATGTATTTTTTCTGGTCTCTTACTACCCCGCCAAATAATTTATTTCTGGTAGTGACTGCGAGCAACTGTAATACGGGGTGTAGGGTTTGGTAGTACGGACTTTGAGGGTAGCGGGAGTAATTTATTGCTTGCTACGTTACTGTAGCAAGCGATACGACAGCAGACAGGCTTCTACACCCGCCACTGTAAAAGAAGATTAATGGCTACATGAACTATGTATATATATATTTTTTTTTTCAGCCACACTATTTCGCTTCGTCTAAAAGTTTTCTTTTTTTTCTAACGCTTTTAGATTGAAAAATTCCTCACAGACTTTTACTATTACTTTGTATGTACACAATACTATAATATAATGTATTTATAAAAATTTCCCTCTCTAGATCTAACAGCTATAGTTGTTTTGTTAAAAGTTACAACTTTTAGGTGTAGACATCATTTTATTTCCATTTGATAAAAAAAAATCCATTGCTCATTTTCTATCTTTATAAACCTGTAAACATTTCGTACAATACAGTTACTATTAATTAAATTTAAATGCGTTTTTACAATCGAAATCTCTGAGTATACATCAGTTCAATTCTTAATCGCTATTTTTATGAGATGATTTCCCCCACGATGGGTTTTTCTGTAATATAACTACCGTTGTACTACCCCATTACACACCTTCCGCATATGCGGAAGGTGTAACTGCCGTCGTATACGACTGCTATTTTCCTTCCTTTTACTCTTCAATGGGATTTTTATTACTCTAATAATAGGTTGAGTAAACAACCCGTTAGAGTAATGGTCCGTGTTACTACCGGTGAAATGCATATCACATTAAATGTGATTCGAATTGTTTTATTATTTGATTTATTTTATTGAACTACAATTTTATTCTTATCAATTGATATTATTACAAAAATGTTTTACTTTAGTTTCTAAAAACTTTCTTTATTTATTCAGTACACTTTTTTTTAAAAATACTATCAAACATTGACAGTTTTATTTATATACTAATTTTAATGAGACGTATTCATAATTCACAACTACCTTATGCCATTTAATATAATTTTATAACGACCTTTGAATAACAAATATATACAAAAACTGGGCGTGTTTAAAGTTTAGCGGAATAGATCTTGAAAACTTTCGAACCTGCTGGAATGATGAAAAGTGATTTTTTTATAGCTTTAATTAGTATTCATGCCCGATCGTATCACCGAAGTATGTTCATTTTTTATGATAGTTTTATTATGGTGTAATTAATAATGTTCCTTTTTTTTTTTTTATCGAAAACAATTCTTTACAAATAGATTATTTAACAGTTTACTAACTATTAAGTTTTACGACAAATAACAAATGACATGAGACATTTAAAATTAAAAAAATTTTAAAGTGTTTCATAAATTTTCCATATATTTGAGTAACACAACTTGACATTATTAAAAATAACAAAGTCGTGCAATGTGAACAAATAATATTTGTGTATAATGCAAAACAAGTAAATTAAATTACACTTACTAAAAATATACACCTATGCTAAATAATAAATTTATTAAACATGTTTGAAAGTTGATCTTCACTTCGACGTAGTCAATTCTAAAAATAAAAAGGTCCTGCTGGTGTAATTTAACTATCTTTCGCTATTCTAGATTGCATAAAGGGTAGTTTCGTCTTTACATATTATGTAGGGGACATCCAAACGTGAATACTGAAATAGGAAATCATACTTTAAAAAGCCACTTTCCATTTTTGTGGCGCATTGTCCTCTGAGATATAGAACTTAAAGAGGGTGACAGAATGGTCCATAGAGAAAGCTATCTGTTATTTGTAAACCATTTGTATGGTCATACAATTTCCATCTAAACTGCTCTGCCATAAAACCACCGACATTTTCCATAATGTACCCTACGAGACAAAAACGCCAACAATTTTCACAGATATTTCTTGTGTTGCCTATTAATAAACCTATTTAAACGATGATGTCCGTGCAATATATTGATTTTAGTAATATAAACTTCACATTTATTAGTACTAAACGACATTGTTTTATCGAAATTACGAGGACGATCTAAGATAATATACATCTGACGTGCGCTGCCCTAAGGCTTTGGATTCCCAGGAGACTGTTATGGCATTAAACATTCATCGGCGGTATTTTCGAGTCAGCAGACGATTCGGCATTTTGCTTTCTATTTAAGTATTCCGCTCGCGTTTAATCTTTATCGGTGGTAGTCTTTACCTTGCTCCCTGTGGCAAATTAAATAAATGCTTTGTGGGTTTTTTTTATATTTTTATCGGATCTAATTTTCCAATCGATTTCTGTTTGAAAACACATTTTGCATCTGAAAACCTCTCATGCCATTAAAAACTTTTCCAATAGAATTTACAAGCAAATGGAAAATGTGTGGCATTAGGATTTACATTTTCGCATACTAAATTTTAAATCAAACTTGAGGTTTTTTTGTATAAGGAATACGGAAACGGAGTTAAGGAATATAACATAATGGCTTTTCAGTCATGACTGAACGACTTTTCAAACTGCCGATATCATTTATGAAATTCATTTCAAAAAAACCTTGAAAAATTTTACTTAACTCAATTATATTTTTAATTATGGTTAATGGCTAAGGATAAAATTAACAATATTTTCGTGTAGATCTCTGCAGTACCTTTTAAGTGCAGTAAAAGTTTTTAAAAATAGTGTTAACTTTTACAAACATTATAAAGTGTACAACTTTTTAAAATATTCTTTCAGTGGTTTTGACAGCGATTCTTGTAGGATGAAAGTTCACGTAGTTTTGGGTAGATTTCCAATTATTTTAATGTCGTTTCCCGGCCAAAAAGGTTTCCTCATAATTGAGATATGGTAGAAGGTTATGGGATCGTTGAAAGCAATATAGTCAAAAATCTGTAAGCTGGGGTAAAAGCGGCATAGTATATACGAATAGAGGGGATCCAATATAAAAACTATAAAAATAATATCGTTGAGGGAACTGATAATATTCTTATAGGCAAGGGGTAACCAATAACCGATTTTCGTTACTTCTATATTGGGCTATACAACCTATTATTATAGTTTGAATAACAGGAAGTATTTTATTATATGCTTGTATATCAAAAAACTATTTTATAGATATTGATATTCCTCTTTTTATGTTTCTCGAAACAGAAACTATTTTTTTATATGTATTATGACCATAGTTTCTCTTCTTTTACAGTATTTGCTATTTACTTTTGACGCTTTAAGGTGGGAAAAGATTATCGTTTTACGATTCGACTTTTACATTTTGATTTTGATTTTGATTTTTTTTCACTCTAATGTTACGAATATTCCCAACAAGCTACTTCTGTACAGTTGACATACAGAACATGTTTTATTTCTCCTTAGTAAGTTTGATGCAACCGCCTTTTTATCGTTAACTTCGGAAACGCCTTTTCTTCTGGAGGTCATTATCGCTTAGCTCGTTGACACACCCTTTTTAGAAGTTCAATTACATATAATGACTGAAGTACGAAAAAATAATAAATGTAAAAGTTCTCAATAATTTTTTTTTAAGTGACTCGTGATTTTCGGTGCTGTACTATCAGCTATTATATGAAAATTTCTTGTAATTGAGGCGTGCATGATATGCCATGGTGTATAATTGACATGTTTCTGACACGCGACCAGAACATCATCTTGGTAGGATCATGATATCGGGATGTGAAATACGTGACGATACACGTGATCTGGGGGAGGCGATACCGCACACGCCTACTTACCGGGATTAAAAAAACGCCTCGTATACTCCAATTACTGTTATTTATTGAAGATTAAATGTGTAGTGTAATGATTTATCATAGATTCTTAAAACTGGTACTCTTTTGAAAAACTTTATTCCGGCAAATATTTTTTTTGTTTATTATTTGTATTGGTTAAATTTTAGTGAATATATTATAAAATGTTTATTGATTTTAAATATAAAATTAATTGTTAAATACTTGTACGTTAAAAATTTTCTTTTTTTATTTTACAGCACCCATACCCATCGGAAGACCAGAAAAAACAATTGGCCCAAGACACCGGGCTAACGATATTACAGGTCAACAATTGGTGAGTAAACAACTTTGTATTGTTATTAACTTATTGCTTTTTTATTTTAACTTCATATTTGAATGATAAATCATTTATTTTATACATTTTCTTTTAAGTACTCACGTTAAATTACGCTTACGTTACCGTTTTATATTCTTTAGTTTTACACACGTGCCATCGGGTATTTTAAATTCACTTTTTCTACCCCATAATTATTATGTGGTCTATATAATTATACCAGGGCCTCTGGTGATATTACTTCGATGTCTACCTGCCAGATATGCAGTTCATTTGTACTAAGTTTTTTTATCGCCATACGAAGACAGACGGGACGGAATACGTGTGGGTAAAGACCGTTTCAGTCTTCTTAGGAATGACTCGGCACTATGTCTATTGAAAACAACTTCCATCTCTATAATACAATTATATACCTTTTAATAGAATTATACATTTTTGTATTTAGGTACACATTTTAACGTCTGTCTTAATAATGGAATTATAAAAATATATATTAAATGTAAAGTGTGTCTTATATACATGTCTGTCAGGTTCATTGGGCAGGTGTGATTTGTATTATTTTTAAGAAGTAGGTGGATTCACGGTGTATATTGTGTAATTACTCTCTTAAAACGGATAACCATTTCTCTGACAATATAAAAAAATGAATTGCAGAGCGGTAAAATCGCAATTATTTGATGCATACTGTGGTGCTTAACAATTGTATTATAGTGATGGTTTTGTATGGTCAGTAGTAAATCGAGAAGTACAAGAAAAATAACCCATGTACATTATGTTGATGATTCGCTTATGATACTTTGTCTTGAGTTTTTACTATTGCTTTTGCTGACTGTAGCTACATCCCATGGGAACTAAACACCTCGGCTATCTACTAGTATAACCAATTTTTTACAATGTACCCTCGGCGCTTCGTATAGGGTACAGCATTCTCATTTTTTACGCTTACTTGTTTTTTTTCCGTGTGAGTAGGGTGATAATAACTTCGCCCTCACATATTTTCTCATCGTTTCCCTCCTATCGTTTTACTTGTCCCAGAATCTACCAGAGTCCCGCGAGAACTGCACCGTAGAATAGTGTAAGAGGTGACGGTATAGTGCAAATGATGATGACAGTATCGAGTTTTTTTATTTGAAACATTCGAACCCTTGGACCCACTAGTCACCGCCAAACGACCGGATTCCCAAAGCTGTTATAGAAGTTTACCCTAAAGTATATAGTTGATAATGTATGATGCGACAAGTTTATACGGGCACATAACCTGAAAATTATGTTTTAGTAAAAAAAATCTTTAACACCAATACAAAACATTTATCTTCCGTAAAAAATTGATCATCCACAGTTTTATTCGTTATAAATCAATCAATATTTTTAACATTTGAGTTGTTTACAGCAAATAAAAACAATTCTCTATTTGTAAATAATAAATTAAAATTTGTTCAGAATTATTATAAAATATTGAAAATGATCGTCTTAAGCTTGTTATTTATTTAGTATTTGGAACTTATCAAACTTTTATTATAATTATCATTTGCGTCAATTGTAAATTATATTTTTTGTGTAGTCTTAAACGTAACGTTAAAAAGTTTTTTTATTTCCTTTTTAGAAGTTCATATAAAGTTATATATTCTTTTTTCTTATCACTGAGGTTTAATTACAGTATTTTCCCGGAGCAGAATAAGGTACGGTCTATATATAATATATATATATATATAAGGAAAACGTTATTTTTCTGAAAGAGCGGGCAAACGAGAGAAAATCTCTTTTGCCCAGAGATGTATATCTTCAACAGAAATGTCACCCGGGTAGCTTTCTCGATAGTGCACGGCTGGCCCGTGTAATTTATCGTCTACTGTGGCCCGCAATTTCAACTCAGCCGGGAAAATGGAAGGAAAAACTTCTCGGTTTTCTCCCTCGCCCACTCTGGATAGCTTTCATTCTCTGCCATCACTTATTCGAGCAAATAAATTGTAAGATGAAAAAATGTTATTAAAAAAAAAAGAAGGAAAAATAAAAATGGAAAATGCAGGAGGTATAATATAATAAGACCACGGTAGAAAATAATGGTAAGATGATGTTATTATATTGAGATAGAAGATGGTACAATAAGTAAAAGGTATATAGTATAAATATTTAATCGAGGTAGGGTATCATTTAGACGGGAAACGATGGAAATGACTTTTTGGAAGAATGAAAATTTATGAATAATGAGAAGTGACTTTATTCTTTTTTTTTTTAATATGAAGATTTATGTTCTTTTGAAAAAGTATAACTTAAAACTCAGGCAATAAGAGTAATAACTATAAGTTGTTTTATAAACCAAAAATTAACACTTGGGATACAAGCACCTGTTGCTTTTTAACAATAATAATGTAAAAGTTAACTACAAACTACCTACCTATAAAAAACTTTTATGTGTTGAAAACGAGTGGAAAAAAAGAAACGACGAAAATGGTGTCGTTTCGTTTTATCACTTAGGGACGTCATGACAAGACGATAGAAAATTACCTTATTCCGAAAACAACTATTCATGTAACATTGAGAAAAACAAACAAATAAAAACTGTAAGAGGTGTACACAATAACAAGGTTCATTTGTTGCTTAGTAAAGTTTTATTAAGAATGTTTTTTAAGCATTTTTTGAAATTCAAATTGACATTTTTTTCTCGATTTATTTTATATATTGAACTCATCAAGCATACAATCAAAATATGTAAAATTTTGACAGCTCTAAGGATAAAACGCATGTGCGCAATATGGAATATGATTCATATGTGTGCTCGATGAGATGTATTATTTTTTTATGCATATTATATTTTATGCACAATGAGGGTGGTATCGTTTTTTTTTTTTTTTTTCAGCGGGTGTTTTGCCTTAGTTTCTCTTTACGTGCAATGTACCGGAAAATCTAAGACAAATGCGTCACTGTGTTTTATACAAAAATATGCATAATAAAACGACGTTCAGTGCAACGTCGATGTCTCTGGTTCACTGCCAAGTCTATAAATATATATAGATATAATTTTGATTCCGTATTGTAAATATATACATATATACTTCTTATGCAGTGTACAAATGGAGATAGAAACATTACTACAGAATGGGTGTAGAAATAATAACGTCGTACAGTGATCTGCGTCTGTTGCTCTGCTTAATGGCATACTCAACTGAAGAGAAACTCCCTAATATTATTTATACACAGATCTAATTACTAATTAATGTTCTCTCCTGTTGATACCCAACGCTTAGTCTACCGGATGGTTATTATGAAATTGACCATTGTTGAAATTAGTACCCACTCCGAGTAATTCACTTCCTCTTTAAGTAATTGCCTTGAAAACAGTTCTGTACTACAAATCTTAATTTCATCATATCTCCATGTACGAATCACTTAAATCTAGTTGCTATGCTCGTACAATATTGTAGTGGAGTGTGTATGGTAATAATGGAGTGTTATGTTTATAATTTTTTTTATTTTTGCTGTCCTATTTATGTTAAATAAAATCGTTATTTAATGTGTGATGCAAAATATTGTGGCCATTTTCAGACGAAAAATGTCTTGTCTGTATTGTTATAGCCGAAAATGATTTATATATCGCCAGGATTTTTAGAGAACGAATACGTCCAAGGGGAGAAATACAAATAACACTGTGAGTTCTTTGCCATATTATTTGTTCGCTGGGATTTAGAAAGGAAATTGTTTACGGCGTGCATTCCTGAGCAAAGAGGGATAGAGAATACATCCGGATTTCGTATCCGGGTGCAAAGGCTACTTACTGGAAGAGGGAAATATAAAAAGGAATCGACAATGGGCTATGAACGAACGAATAGCTTATTGCAGAGTATCGGCAATTGCCAATATTATTATTCTTTACAACCCTCTTTTAGATCCAAATGTAAATGTGGTCGATTGCCGGTCAACTTTAGTGGTGGCCACAATTCCGTTTATTTTTATTTTTTTACTGCTCAATGCACAGTGTTCTGAATATATTTTATAGCGGTTAACAGCTTCACATACTTTTCGCTTAGTGATTTTTTATTTCAAAAATAATAATATACAAGTGATTGGTTAAACGTTCGCCTCTAAATTTTTCCTAAAATAATAACAATTTAAAATAAAAATTTATTAGTTATTTTTTAATATTATTTATTTATTAATTTTTAAGTTATATATTTTAGATATTAGATATAGTTTGATATTTTTTAGGTGTATCCTCTATCTATTATAAGGGTTTAAACTAATTTTTTTTTTTTTAATGACAATATACATATCTAACTAAATCTCATAATAGAAAAATTATCCAATTAAAAATATAACTGGTTCATAATATTTTGAACCAGTAGTTCACGGGAGATATGAATATTTTTATAGCAAGGCGGGAGGAGTTGCGCGACAAAGAAATTTATATTAATAAAATAACATAACCCACCTCTAGTAAACATTTTAAAATAATAATAACTTCCAAAATAAATAATACTCAAAAAAATATAATATATATATATATGGTGATTTGTTTAAAGATAGCCACTTAATGTCTCTTAAAGTAATAATTATGTTACAAATTTATTTTTAGTTGTATAAATTTCTTGATTTATCAGTTATTTATTAACTTTTTAAATCAACCCTTTTACCTTATAGTAGTGACAACTATATTTTTTTAAATGGTAACTTACGTATTTAAATAGCTCATGAACTTAAAAATGATTTAATTACAAAAATAACTGGTGGATAACTTTTGGACTATCAATTCAAAATTTATTAACATGATTATGTTAAGTCGGGAGGAAAGGTGCAGTGGTCCAAAAAAGTCTTATAATAAACTTTGTCATATTGGAGCCTCACCTCTAATATACATTTATATACCAGTCATTTTTTAAACTAAATTATTTTTTATTTTACAAGCATATACATATACATGTTTCTAATTGAAAAAAATAAAATTGACACCCTTATAAGGAATAAAAGATTAATTAAAATAGTAATGATATTAAAAATTAAAAAAT